GGTCTCGTTCGGACGAACGAAGGTGGAGAATTATCCTCTGTGCTGTGCTCAAAGCCCACGAAGCTAGTTAGTGCACCAGCCGCCATTGATGTTTACGTTTGTTCTCCGCTACTGCGCATGTCCAAATGTACGTGTGGGGAGCAGTGCGGAGGTGGGGGTCAGAGCAGAGGGGGATTTCACACCTTTCTCCCTCTCGCGGGTGTGAAAAAGCTCCCTGCTGTGCAGCGTATCTGAGCTGTCCCACTTTGCAGGCTGGATCTGAACACTTACGTTTTGACCCCCCTGGAACACAGTCTTCGTATGAACCGTTGGTAGAAACCGACATCCAACCAGACCGTTGGGTTGGGACCAAAGTAACAAAGGTTACCATCACACTACAACGACAGGGAATCAAATCCTGCAGTGCCAGACGTGTCCCCCTGCTGAAGCCAGTGCATGTCCAGGTCCGTTTGAAGTTTGCCAGAGAGCACATGGATGAGAATGTCATGTGGTCAGATGAAACCAAAATAGAACTGTTTGGTATAAACTCAACTTGCATTCCAAGAACACCATACCTACTGTGAAGCATGGGGGTGGAAATGTCATGCTTTGGGGCTGTTTTTCCGCTAAGGGGACAGGACGACTGATCCGTGTTAAGGAAAGAATGAATGGGGCCATGTATCGTGAGATTTCGAGCCAAAACTTCCTTCCATCAGTGAGAGCTTTGAAGATGAAACGTGGCTGGGTCTTCCAGCATGACAATGATCCCAAACACACCGCCCGGGCAACGAAGAAGTGGCTCCGTAAGAAGCATTTGAAAGTCCTGGAGTGGCCTAGCCAGTCTCCAGACCTCAACCCTATTGGAAATCTGTGGAGGGAGTTGAAAGTCTGTGTTGCTCTGCGACAGCCCCAAAACATGACTGCTCTTGAGAAGATCTGCATGGAGGAATGGGCCAAAATACCAGCTACTGTGTGTGCAAACCTGGTAAAGACCTATAGTAATCGTTTGACCTCTGTTATTATCAACAACGGTTATATTACAAAGTATTGAGTTGAATTTTTGTTATTGACCAAATACTTATTTTCCACCATAATTTAAAAATAAATTCTTTAAAAATCATACAATGTGAATTCCTAGATTTTTTTTCCCACATTCTGTCTCTCACAGTTGAAGTGTACCTATGATGAAAATTACAGCCCTCTGTAATTATTTTAAGTGGGAGAACTTGCACAATCGGTGGCTGACTAAATACTTTTTTTGCCCCACTGTATATCCGAGGAGTCACAGAACGCATTGAAAAGGGCCATGAAGAAACACAATGTAAATACAGCCATAAAACCACACCACAATTTAAGACAGTTATTAGTACACCCCAAGGACACATTAGAACCAGAAAGCAAATATAACGTCATATACGAAATACCATACAAATCATGCAAGCAGACATATATAGGAGAAACGGGCAGGGCATTTAACACCAGAAAAAGTGAACACCGGAAAGAATGTGAGAAAGAGACTGCAATACGACTAAACAGGACAGGAAGACAGGCAAGAGGACAACCTAAAATTGGCAATATCAAACTACTGCAAACGTAATAACCACCTTATGGACTGGGACAACACAAGAATCATAAAACAAGAACCCAAAAAATACAAAAGATGGATCAAAGAAGCAATAGAAATCCGGAAACAGGGCGCAGACATTATGAATTGCGACGAGGGCGCGTACCAACTCTCCTGTACATGGGATCCACTTTTCCAGCGACGGCAGGGGGCGCAGTCAGCCCAATAAACCACATAAGAGTGCTGGGTTGACTGCGCCTGGGAACAGCAGCTGATAAAAGGCACGTCATGTGTGATGTCGCGAGACGCTTCTGAGGAAGACGGAAGTTATCCGTCAAAACATGTCAAGGTAATAACGCCACAAAACCTTATATTGTCTGGTATAGAAGAACCCATTAATTTTAATATTAATTTAAAAAAATACTGTATACCCTCCGACAGTGCACTTTAAAAAGGCCTACTAATCCTTCCACAAAAATGCAAAAATTCTGGGGTCCAACTCCCGAGACTAAAACCTTAATAAAGCTAAAATATTGCATCCTGGAGCAGCATAGGTAGAGTGTGATTGGCTGGCAGCTTCAGAGCTCAGCAGGCACTGGGCTGTTGATAATCTTTTACTTGAAAATAAAATTTAGAGACAGGCTATGGTCCAAACTTGCGCACATCTGCATCAGCTACAGTCCGCGAGGAGGAGCAAGATGTTTGTTGCTCTCAGGCGGTGGACAAGAGGATGTGATGACTGCTTTTTGTTTAAGTGATCCGTATAGTAATGGTCCCCGATGGGGACTATTACTCTATGTATTGTGATGTGATGCAACACGGTATGGTGTCTTCATCGACCAAGTTTTTAGAATATTGTAATTATTTTACTGGGATTTGAAGGATATACAGTATACTCTATTAACAACAGCAGGAAGGAGGAAGCATGGCGTGAGGAGCATGGCGTGAGTTAGCAGGTGCTTTGGGAGTTATTAGACAGTTTAATTTAGATGCGGTGTCTTCTAATAATTGTGAGAACTTTTACACAGGACTTTTGTCAACTGAGAGTTTTTTAGATCAAGAGACATAACATCATCTTCTGTTACATTTAGACAGTGCAAATTTGTGGCTTCTTTTGCTGTGCAGGCTTTCTATGTGCTGAGCAATCTGTCTCACAACAATTGATCCTTGGTCTGATTCCCAGAACAGACGTAGAATTCCTGCGTTTGGGTTTACACTATCCTTGTTTCTAATTCAAACAAGACAAATGTTTCAGGGGGAATAAACTTGTGCTTGTACGCATTGAATCTATCTGACCCCTATATAAACAACATTGCGAGAACTATAACCTTTTATATCTTGTGTATCTTTTTGCATTCTATATCTATTCAAACCACTGGGGGTTTTCAAATGTTTTAGGTACCAGTAATCAAATGGGATCTGATTAATCAAACTTAAAAACCATAAACAATTGAACTATGAAATGGAAATTGCTATGTCATTGGAAATCTATCCTGGCTCCCAAACAGTCCGGTTCGATCACTAGTTTTCGCATGCATGTGTTTTGGTCCTCTCTTACATCTTCAGATCAGCATTGAATTAAATTCTATCTATTTTTGTATATCCATAACTTTTCAGACAGAAAATATCTCAGCCCAAAGTGTCAAATAGCAACTCACACTTACTCTCTCTTACAAGTATTCAACGATCAAATATGTTCTAATGATGACGTTTTTGCCCCCTTAACCAGTTTACACTTTTTTGTTGTTTTAGACTATTGCTGATTAAGGGCATGTTCACTCTTGTATTCTGGTTCACTTGGGGAAAAAGGCTTCCCAGAGTTAAGCTTCAAGTGTTAACTGACACTTTTGGTGTTTTTTTTACACCCACAAATACAGCATTTTACCTCATGAGAACCAGAATTGGTCCAATTAAACCAGACAAACAAGTCTGAGCGCGCCCCTATGAAACTCATAGAGGATTTACCGTGGCAAAACTTGCATGCGAAAGCCAGATCCCGTCAGACCTCTGAAGCTTTGCAGGGCAGGGCCTAGTTAGTACTGTGATGGGAGACCTCTGGGAACATCACGCTCCACAGTGGGGCGGCTGTAAAGTGCCAAACTGTTATTGTGTTCTTAGGCAAGTCACCTCACCCACATTGCCTGGAATAAATCTCGTGAATGAGTGGTGGTGGTCAGATGGCTCATACTGGTTGCCTCACTTCTGTCAGTGTGCCCCAGAGTAGCTCTGGCTACAGTAGTAGTGTATCACTACTGTGTATGGAGTGAAATTATAATGACATGTGACACGTCTTTGAGTGTCCAGAAAAGCGCTATATAAAACCAATTAATTATTATTATTATACGGCTCCTCACTGCAGCAGTAGAATGCTCCATTGATTTGAATGTAATTTCAAAACGTTCTACCGGTCATTATTTTCTATAACGGACCTCTCAAAACAATAATGACCGCTGCCCATGGCAACGCACTCTGTGCTTGTCTTTCAAATGTGTGGATAACTCCGCAAGTAGTTCCGGCCACTCCTGAGCTAGCCACGCTCAATCAACACACTTAAATGTTAATCGGAGAATACTTATACATATACATTCTTCACACACGTGCACGGAAATTTTCAGAATTTTCTGGTCTTGTCTTCATGACAAAAATACTATTTCTCTGCGTCAAAAAGCGATCGTGAAAAACCCGGAAGTAGTTCTGGCCGCTCAATAAACGCAAATGCCAATCAATCAACGCAATGAAATGTTTATCGGAGAGTGAATTATACATATCCAGTCTTAATACAAGTGCACGGAAGTTTTCAGAATTTTCCGTTTACGTTTTCATGACAAAAACACTGATGTAATGCGAGAAAAGGCGATCCCGAAAAACCCGGAAGTAGATACCGGCACATTTTAAGATACCGGCACATTTTCGGACACATTTGCAGAGGATCGAATTATGGATTTAGGTTAGGTTTATGTATGGGTCACTCACCGCTGATGTTCAGAATTCTTTGTTCAGTTTTCATGCAGTTCCAGAGAGTTCTAGTTTGGAAGTTGCCAGCCTAACTGTTGCTAGCATAGCCACAATGGTCAAAGCCACACTGCCTGCCCGCGGTTGCCGAGCAACGGGAAAACTTTTTGGGACTACTTTATTTGTTGTCATTAAATAAACTTTTGGCATTCATAAAAGTGATCTGAAGTTTATTTTGTGTGTTAAGTTGGTACAAAGCAGTATAATAAGCGGGATAATGTATAGCATACAGGTCATTATCGGAAAATAAGTACCTTCAGGCGCGTCGGGGTCCGCTTCGCCCTGTCGGTACTTATTTTCCGATAATGACCTGTATGCTATACATTATCCCTTACTTATTATCCCTCCAAACCGTTCTCACTACTTCTTGTTCATTCTTTGTGCATTGTCAATAATAAAACCTCACGAACATCACAGCACTGACCAATTTTCTGTCTTCTTGCAGCATAAAAAACGTCACTCCCAAAGTGGGTGCAGAGGAGACGCATGATGCAATCAGACGAGCGTTCGATGTGTGGCAGAATGTGACACCGCTGCGCTTCGAGGCCATACCCTACAGTGAACTGGAGCGCAGCAAGAAGGACGTGGACATCACCATCATTTTCGCCTCCGGGTTCCATGGTGACAGCTCACCTTTCGACGGCGAGGGCGGCTTCCTGGCACACGCCTACTTCCCCGGCCCGGGCATCGGCGGAGACACTCACTTTGACTCGGATGAGCCGTGGACGCTAGGAAACCCCAATCATGACGGTAAGGTTCCAGCTGAGGTTTTGGGAAAAGGGGCTGTAAATGGCTGTGTGTGATTTGGTGTGGAGCAAGAGAAAAAAGAATGCTCAGAAAACCACAGCGGTTTATAGTTCCTCTAATACTGCAGTTCACATATGTGCTCTGACGGGACAGAGCACAGGTTCACTGCGATCAAGAATGCATGACAAATAACACTCACGATAACGATATTATCACGATAACGATATTATCACAATAACAATATTATCACGATAACGATATCACGATAACGATATCACGATAACGATATCACGATAACGATATCACGATAACGATATCACGATAACGATTATTGATATATTGGTCAGAAATATACAATATGCCAATTTATGGCATAAATAAAAGAAAAAATACACTATATTTCATGATAAATTAAATGGAGATGCGTAATGTAGCCATATATTAAGTATTGATACCAATTTTTAAAAAGAAAAAAAAATCTTTTCAAAATTGATATTGATACTTGGCAAATGCATATCAATAATTGAATCGCGGGAGAAAGTGTCGCGATATATCGAAAAATCGATATATTGTTACACCCCTACTTCAGATACACACTCTCTTTCTATATATGGATTATGTAAAATGTACAATTTTATATTTGGCTTGTATGAAGCAGTGGGGGAGGGTCCCAGCTCAAAAGTGGCCAAAATGACGTGCGCTGACATGCTTGCAATACCACCCCGGGCCGATGGGGGTGGACCCAGAAGTAGAATTAGCCAATGCTAACATATAGCATTGGCAGAACTCTCAAAAACGTCTTTACAGGATGGACCAAAAGTTGGCTCTTGGCCCAAAGCTCCGTTCCACATGTGTGTCAATGCTGAGGGGGGTGCATTTTTTTGGTCCACTCTAGTTTACTTGCTGTGAATTTTTGAAGTCTCTCGTTCAAATGAATGGAGTTGCGCCGGCTGACGCATGCCCAGATGCGTTTTTTCACAATTTTCTTGTGGGCGGGACCACTCGCGGCCATTTTGGATTGCTCCAGTAGAGCACATTTTTTGGCCCATTAGTTAGAACGGCGGAAATAGGTGTGACTCTGTCCGTTAATATATACAGTCTATGGTATGAAGGCAACACAGGCTGTTAGTGTATATTGTGATTTCATACATTCACTTCTGTGAGGACAGCATAATCCCAACCAGGACCAGGGTCATCTACAACAATGTTCCCTTGGGTGACTCTTTTGTCTTCTGATTTGCCAGCAATGCCATGGCGTCGGTAAAGATATGAAGAGAAGTGTAGCGAGAAGAGTAGCTCTACAAAGGCTACACACACCAATCGTTTTGTCAAGATTGCCCCCTTCTTTTATTTTTTATATCTTTTATAAATATTTTTATTTTTTTACAAAACCCAAAGTATCTCCAAACTGACAAACGCAAATTTGGAGCCTTGTTGCTACCGCTGCCACCATTATCCATGTTGTGAGCTTGTAACCTTTATTTACAGCGCCGCCGCAAAGGCTTGTTGATGACACAGGCGAAAAACAATTGAAATTTGTTAACATTCAGACAAAAAAATGTTATTCCATTGCACATTGTGACTGCGATTTAATGTAATAACTATATTGTTACAATCGACATTTTTCTATTTAAAACGATGTAGTGTTGATGTGCGGCTAGGATTGATGCCAAATAGCTGAGCGCCGATCGATTTAGCTGGATCGCAGGGGAGACACATAAATAGATTGATTAAATACATTTTTCAAGGCTTTTTTAAGTTCTTCTAAGACAAATAAAGCAAAAAAAGCTAGTACTGCTTAATTACCTGACATGTTTCGGCGGTACACTTCCGCCTTCATCAGAGGTGACACGTGATGGTGTGACGCGTCTCTTATCAGCTGTTGTTGCCGGATGCGGTCAGTCTGACGGATCCTGACGACGTCCCCCGCTGCGCTGTGGTCTCTGGAGAAGTGAATCCCAAGTGTGAGCTAAGGTGAAAGCTCCCTTGTCTCTGTTCGGACGTGGTCAGTCTGACGGATCTGTGAGATCTGTCAGACTGACCGCATCCGGCAGTTTTTTTTAAGAACTTAAAAAAGCCTTAAACATAAGAAGACAAAATTAATTTTCTACGTTTAATACATTTGAATAAATAGATGTATCGTTACACCCCTAGTTTAAAGACAATTTCTGTGTTAATTAAAAAGCTTTATTCGTAATTAATTTTTCTTTTTTTACCATGAGCCGTTATTATACAATATTTTGAATTAGTCAGTTATTTTCAAGTAATATGCACGTCGATCTTGTGCAGCCCCACGACTAAGTCAAGAGGAGTCATGATGCTTCCAGATCCATGAGTCAAACCAATGACTGAGCGAGTGAAGGGTTTTTAAATAAAAGTGTATGACCAGAGTAGTCAGAACTACGGTTTGAAAAGGAAACGCCTTTGGTGATGGGAGCAAAAGGATAAAAGAGAATGGCAGAGTATTTTAAGACAAATATTGGAGGTTGAAAAGCTCACAGGAGATACTACGAGAGAAGAGAGACACTACGAGAGAAGAGGGAAGCAAACGCAGCCTTTGAAGGGAGTGGAGCACACATATCTATGTGTGTATATATATATATATTAGTGCTGTCCAACGATTAAAATATTTAATCACGATTAATCGCATGAATTTCATAGTTAACTCGCGATTAATCGCAAATTAGTCACACATTTGTATCTATTCTTTATGTCCCTTGAATTATCATTTTAATACTACTAAAAAGTGAATAGGCGTGCTGTGTGCAATTGCTTTTTTTTAATATTTTGTAAATTTGTTCATGTAAATACTCTATGCTGTTTCTCTGTTTACTTTCGGTATATCTATGACTGTATATAGGGTTTGTTCACACTAAAGGGCACAAAAGTGTGACAAAAGGCTAAAAATTAGATTTTAATAATCAGAAGATATTTTATGTTTTTCATGTTTCCAAACACCTCCTCTGTTCATTAGAAGTTGCTAGAACATAACTGTTCTGTTTATTTTACCTAACGGACGTGATGATTTGACGGAATGAGCTTTGTGGAAGTTTGATAGGTATTTTCAGATGTCCACATTTGATTCAGAGATTCTATTTTTTTACACAAAGTAGATGCAAAGTGATACTTTCATATTGTCAACTAATTAAATGTGAAAACAGACCAGATTTTTTTTTCTCTCATGTTTAATTTTCAGAGAAAAGAGGACTGTCCTCATCACGTCCGTTATACATTTTTCAGGGGTCATATAATTAATTAATTATTTGTTATTTTTTTACGATTCCTTTTTATATCAAGTGATTCCCTTTTGTTGTGTTAACCATGTAAATCTTGTGGGATTTCATCTTCTGCTTTTTCAGACTGAGGACATTTTATTTTCTATGTAACTGGCGTCACAGTAGAATGGTCCAATCAGAGGCTAATTTGGTCGTTTAAAATGTTGCTAAACATTTTTATGTCAATCTTTCCTTTTGATTTTTTCCACACTATCTCTTCAATCTGTCTGTGTTTGAAATCTTTTTCCAATCTATGAAAGTGATTTTAGTTTTTAAGTTATAACCTTTTAAAGTCCAGATACTTCAATTGTCACTTTACTGTGAACACACTCTATACTGTTTGCTTGTATTGCCTTTTTTATTAACCCCTCCCCCCCATCTCCCACTTCCCCCCCCCCCCCCCCCCCTCCTATGTGCCCTTCTGGGTTTCTTCTTTGGCCCCCTGTATCTCCAACTACATATTGTTTGTAATCTCTGTCTACAATGTATCTGAACTAGTCCTTTTCTTTGTTTCTATTTTTGTTTTCTGTATATGTGTTTGTCTGCAATAAAAAGTAAAAAAAAAAAATTAAAAAATTAAAATATTGATTTGCGTTAACGCGTTAATAACGCGATATAATATAATTATTATTATTATTATTTAAGCAGGCATAATTGTCCAGTTTTAAAAAACTCTCTGGGCCCCATCACGAACAAATCACAATTTATTTTCTAAGGAAATATAATGGTGTTCCTTTTGTATTTAAACAAATCACATGAACATACAAAGCAAAGAACTTGTTAAAAGCGGTGTTCATGTTGCAATTCCATATTTGATATGGATTGCCCATTTTGACAACCTTTGGAAGTGCCAGTTACTGAGGCCCCCCACTTTGGGAAGAAATGCTCTCATGTTTCACTACTGAAACAAAGTGTCAAAATAGCAATGGTGAAACTGTAGCGCTATGACAAAAACACATTATATCTATGGTGCTTCAAAGTTTAAAGTACACTGTAAACCCGAAAAAGTTCAGTGAACTCAAAAATTTTCTCGGAACTGATTACACAAACAACTTGAGTTCATCTTTTGAAAGTTTTAAGTTGAATCCAACCGAAAAGTTTTAAATACATAGTACTTATATTATCTTCATTTTAAAGTCAAATGTTTTACTCACAACTAACCTAATATTTATAGTTGGGTAAAGTATTTATTTTGTCCTCTTTACACTCAAATTTATTGCAACTTAACTCATATTTTATAACTATCTATTTAAATATCAATTAATTGACTTGACACAAGAATCAAAATAACAACATTTATTTGAAAAAATATTGCCCTTTAAGACATTAAGTATTTAAACGTTGACAGTAGAAAACACTTTCCTCTACTTGATTCCATGACCAGTGAGAATAAACTAACAGCAAGTTTAAAAGAGCAACAATCACTGTTCTATCAAATGTGTAACCTTTAATGCTTGTGTGCATGACCCCAAAGCATTAATTGAATTTTGCAATACAAAATAAAGAGACCAATCATCTTTGATTTAAGGCATCTGCGGTGTCTCTTAAAGATAAATTAAATAATAAAATAGACAAATTAAACCCCCAGTAACACTTTACAACTTTTTTCTGCTGACAACTTTTTCTGAAACCAGTCTAAAAACTTTTTTTTCTCCATTGAACCTTTGTGCGATGAGTACTAGAATAAGCTTTTCAGAACTGACAGAACATAAAATAAAAACTATCTGCACAATAACTAACACAAATTAGTTAAAACATCTCTGAACAGCTCATTTTTAATGGCCCGTAGGCACGGTTTCATGACTCTATTGTCATTGAGGCATACCAGGATTTTTTGGATGAAGTTGAAAGTGTTCACAAGTTTCTTGGGGTACTCCATATTGAAGACAAAGATCAGTCCAAAAAGCAGAAGAAAGGCGTCTAGCATATTTGAAATCTCGGCCATCACAACGCTGCCTTCAAGAATAATCGAGACGGCTCCTCCTCCAAAAACATCTTGGGATGCCAACTGAAGAGCAAGTGGGCATTGCGAAAGGTCTGACTTCTCATCTTGCTGTTAAGTACAAAACGGTATGATATTATTTAATCATGTTAATATTTAACATTAACACACACAAAAAAATGCAACTCACCCCAAACCTTTTGAATAAGTCCGAGTCATCCTCTTTCAAGTAGATGGACAGGGCTCGAAGAACAAGGGTGCGCCTCAGATTCACATCTTGTCTCTCCTTATGAAACAAAAATAAATAAATATCAGGTTTAGTTCAATTAACTCATTGCCTGCCGGCCCATTTCAGAACAGGTACTCCCATATTGCCAGTAGTTTGATTTTTATTGATTTTTCAAGACCCACAAAATGTTGTGTGCTATGACTATCTGAAATCCGAGACCAGATTCTGAAAGAATGGAATGTCTACTTTCATCAGCAAAAAGTTTTGTTTCTAGCTTGTTTCATTCCCCTGTAATCGCCAGTCGAGTAGAGGGAAGTTTTACTGAAATCACCAGTCTCAGACAAAAAGCTCAAAACATCCAGACGCGGCGCTGCTGCCACCTGGTTGCTTGATAAAATATGGTCTAAAGCAAATCCCCATTGTTGTCAAAAATGATTTGACTGACGTGTTCAGAATTTGGTACAGAAATAAGGCCAAGATTTCAAGAGTTCCAATAGTACATTTATTTCTCTTTACAATTAAATGTTGATACAGAACTCCTGGAGCTACTCCCTAAATCTATCCCTGTGCTCCAACTTTCCACAATGTGTCCTCCCAACGGTTTTATCAGAATGTCCGATGACGTCACATGGTCTGAGGCTGGTCCCAGTCTGGGCCAGTCCAGTTTTGCTGTCTCAGGCCCTCTCTCCGATAAGAGAGACACGCTGTTCCTGAAAATGATACTTTTATCACAGAAGCCTTGTCCTTGGTGCTTGTCTGAATTCCACTAAATCCAGTCTTTAATATTGCACAAAGACATGTTTGCAAACACCTACTGGAAATCATTAGTTTACAACATTATAATTCTACAACACCATACACATTAGATACAATAGACATCTGGGAACAGGAAAATAGCGGAAAACGCAATTGACACATTAATGCATCAATGGCACACAACGTTACTATTTGATTTGACGTATTAGTGAGTCTATGGCACACGAGTAAAGTAATCAATTACAAAAAAAAGAATACTTTGTATTTTATTGATGTAACCAGGGACTGCAGATGGAAACTAGCTGTTTAGCTATAATCTGGTGCAGAACATATCTGTCTTTGAGCTTAATGTCTCTGTACACTGTCCCTTCAAATAAAGACTAAACTAACTAAAAACTAACTAGTACTATGTCTTAAATCGTGGCACCATTTAAAAAAAAAAAAAAAAAATCTGTTGCTTTTAAAGCCTGACTCTAGCCTAACTTTATGGGACCATCCGGATAGCACCCCAAACTGAAACATTTTGGTTCAACACCATCTTTGTTTATATCATACGAAATTCTTTTTTTTTTTTTATATTTAGATTTTTATTAAGAAAAGGGTCACAACATTACAAAAACGTATCATCGATATTTTTTCATTTTGTAATCCTTCTCACATTTTAGTAATAATGTAAATTATAAAGAAAAACTAAATAAAATAAAAGTAAAAAACAAAACAAAAGGAAGCAGAACAAAACCAATGGGTGCCTAGAATTTCAATTTCTTACTTGTTACAACAAAAGGAAAACATGTTTTTACAATAAACATCAGATGCAATTAGAATCAAGAAAAGTCCTTTCGGGAGGGGGAAATAAAATCGATCCATTTGTTCCAAATTGCGTAGAATGTATCCATTTGCGTATTTCAATTTGGAGAGACGAGAAACAAGAAGTTTTGAGTATTTTATTAGGAGGAGGTTTGGCGCCCTAGGCCCCGGTGTGGCCTTCAGAGCGGAGGGCCTCCTGCGATGGAGCGTGCCAATCCCCCGGGACCTAGGCACTGGTGGCGGCATTTTGGCAGCGGGAAGCAGATTGAAGGCAGGGTGAAGAGGAGGAGGAGGGGAGGCGGTGGTTGCAGGCTTCGAGAAGGCCGAGAGTGGGCGTTTCTCCGCTTTTAAGCGGCTTGCCTGGCCGGTCCGGTGATTGGAAGAGGGCGTTTGCAGTGCGATAGGCTGGGGATGAGACCGGCCTGGAGGGGTTACCTTTGGCTGACGTCTACCAAATTGAATTTCCGCTGGCTGCATTTCAATTTGGAGAGACGAGAAACAAGAAGTTTTGAGTATTTTATTAGGAGGAGGTTTGGCGCCCTAGGCCCCGGTGTGGCCTTCAGAGCGGAGGGCCTCCTGCGATGGAGCGTGCCAATCCCCAAAAAGGCTGTGTGTTGATGGAGTTTTTTGCAGCCTGGTTTGGAGGGGACAGAACGTCGAGACTACTCTATGCTGTGACCGCTATCGCTATATACTGTGACCGCTATCGCTATATACTGTGACCGCTATCGCTATATGCTGACGACCATCATGCGCTAACCATTTTTTGCTATATACTGTGACCGCTATCGCTATATACTGTGACCGCTATCGCTATATACTGTGACCGCTATCGCTATATACTGTGACCGCTATCACTATATACTGTGACCGCTATTTGCTGTGACCAAACTTGCGGATACTCAGCTGCAGCCGCCACCAGGAGTTTAGCGAGTGTTTTATGGAGATGCCAAAAGCCGCTGGGCTGCCAGGATGGTCGAGGTGTCAGGCCTGATGTATGAGGAGAGGGCCGATGATGACCAGCGGCCCAGCTGCTGGAGGGCGGAATGGGGGAACCCCAGTGGCGTGGCGGCGCCTATCCGGAAGGAGTGGGCTGTGTAGAGATGGGGAGACAGTTTACAAAGCAGCAGTACGTACTTGAGTTGGGCTCTGAACCAGTTGGGGGACATAGGGAGGTTATCAGGGGTAAGAAATAACGGTCCGTTGAGATCTCCTTTCCGAGAGCGGAGGCGAGTGTAATGCATCATGGATCTGTAGGGACAGGGAGAAGAGTCAGACCGAGCTACGACTATATTACAAGCGCCTTTGCGTTTGGAATGCTTGAGGTGGAGGTTGAAATAGTCGGGATAGTAAGACAGGTCGGAGAAGGCGATGTCTTGGGCTGCATTGAAGGTGGTGTGGGGGTTAGTGAATTCGCTTATGCGTAAGAAACGTAAAAGCGAGGAGGAAGACGCTGGACAAGAGGGCGATGGCGTACTTTGAGAGCGGGCTGGAGCTGAGTGCGGAGCAGAGCTGGTGGAGAATGGACAGTGTGATGGGGCGGGGAATGCGGGGTGCAATTGTGAATGCCTTTGATGACGAGTTTGATTGACGGATCAGAAAATAGAGAGGGGAAAGCGGGGTTGTGACAGCGGGCCTGGAATTGAATCCCTGCGAGTAGAGAGCGAATGTAGGTGATTTTATGGTGGAGGTTATCCGCGCAGTGAACTATGAAGGCTCATACCGTGACAGCAGAGGGCGGAATGAGTGGAATGCAGTGGGCGTGACAGAAGCCGGAGTAGACTTTCCACGCGAAACTGTAAGATTTCAGTGTGGAAAGTGAGAGACCCATCTTCATGTAGGATGCAGCGGAGGAGATGAGGAGGTGAAGAGACGGAGGGACTAGTCCAGGGCGAGGGATTCCATGCAGGGGATCTGGCATGGTGATGGGTTGGCAGAAGGGCAGAGGCGTCGGAACTCCTGGAATTTGAAACGAGAGAGAGAATCAGCGATACGGTTAAGGTGACCAGGGACATGACGAGCAGTGATAATAAAATTGTTCAGGACTGAGAGCCATGTGATGCGTCTAAGAAAGGTCATGATTTGGGGAGAGGATGACCGACCTCTGTTGATTATTTCGACCACGTCGAGGTTGTCGCACATCACGGAGATCCTTTTCCTCTGCCATGTATGGCTCCACAGCGCGCAGGCTACGGTCACCGGATATATCTCGTGGAGCGCGGAGGAGATGTTTTGAGGGAAGGCGTCGGGCCAGGGCCCGGCGAACCACTGGTCCTGAAAGAACCCCCCAAAACCCACGGACGGGGCTGCGTCCGTGAAGAAACGCAGGGCGTCCGAGGATAGGACGATGTCACTGTAGAAGAAGGAGACGCCGTTCCAGCGGCTCAGCAGGCGGGACCAGAACGCCAGGTCGGAGCGGCACCCCGCGTCTAGGCAGACCGCGTCATTGAGGGAGGAGACGGAGCCGGCGAGGGAGAGGAGTCTGGAGATGAAGGAACGGCCCTGAGGAATGATGCGGATGGCGTAATTAAGATGCCCGAGGAGGGAGAGCAACTGACGCTTCGAAAGTGACAGGGATGACAGGGCAGACCGGGAGATGGCGCGGATGCGCTCGAGTTTGTCCAGCGGGAGGGAGGCCTCCATGGCGCGTGTGTCGAGGCGGATGCCGAGAAACTCCAGAGCGGTGGCGGGGCCTGTGGTCTTCTCCTCGGAGAGGGGGACTCCTAGGGCGGAGAAAGCGAGCTTGAGTTTGCGGAGAGAGCTCCCGGAGCCGTCCGAGGGTGGGTCTACCACAAGAAAGTCGTCGAGGAGATGCAGGACGGAGGGGAGCCTAACGTAATTTAGCAGAATCCAGCACAGCGCCTCCGCCAGATTATTAAATAGAGAGGGACTACTCCGGCAGCCAAAAGTGAGGCGCACGGCAAAGAAAAACTCCGAGCGCCATTTTACCCCGAACAGGTGCCAGTGGTCGGGGTGGATGGGCAGCAGCTTGAACGCGTCTGTGATATCGGCCTTGGAAAGCCAGGAGCCGGGGCCGAAAGTCTTAATAAGCCTGATCGCGTGGTCCACGGTAGCGTACTGCAGGGAGAAGGGTGCTAGAGGGATGAGACTGTTGATGCTTGGGGTGGGCCCGGAGCGGGGACAGGAGAGGTCGAAAATAAGACGCTTCTTCCCAGAGTATTTACGGGTGGCGATGCCTAACGGGTTGGAACGGAACAGAGTGAAGGGGGGCCTGGAAAAAGGGCCGATGACGTAGCCCAGGGACACCTCCCGAGCCAGAAGCCGCGTAACGACCTGGGGCTCACGGGAAGCTGAGAGGAGGTTGCGGGACACGAGAGACGCTGAGGGGAGGGCCTCGACGCCCACGAGAAAGCCGTGGGCCAGACCAGACAGGAGGAATTGAACGAAAACCCGGTCAGGATGGAGCTCGAGCGCGCGGGCAAGCCCGTGCACGGAGACCGGGGTCGAGAGGTGGGCCCTGATCAGCGCCTGGAAGAAGGCCCCTCGAAGCGGCCTTGCGGGCCGCGCCGCGGACACAGGAAGCGTGGGTGGGCCTCCCTGCACACACTGCACGCATGGAGGTAAGCGCACGGGTTAAAGGAGCACACGCTCATGTTGAATCTGTTACATACGTGGGGGGGACCGGCCACGAGCGCACGGGAAGGCGGCCCTTGAGGCCTGGACGTCTCGCCCCCATTGGGTCCGAAGGGGATGCCCGGGCAGAGGGGGGACGTGTGTCCCGAAGCGCCGCACTGGGAGCAGGAAACCGCGGGGGTACCGCCGATGGACAGGAGCAGCACCTCGGTGTCCAGCGTCGCCCGGTCCACTCTGAAGTTCGCCTGGGTGACAAGGGCCGCGGCCTTGGCAGCAAAGGCCCTGTGATAACGATAAAAAATGCTGCCTCCGTACCGGAGGGACAGGTCCCCCATCAGGCACAGATAGGAGTCCAGCTCGGGCCTCCGCTCGGGGTACACGGAGCATATCACGTCGCGATAGACCCCGAAGGCGACGAGAAATTCCCCAATGTTCAGCTCGCGGGAAAGCCGGGGATCCGCAGTCTTTACAACCGCGGTGATGAGATCCGAAGCGGCCACCTGCCGGTCGCACTCGGGAGAGGGAAGAATAAGGGACACCAGGTTTACGTAGCGCCCCAACAAAATCTTGGAACGGAGGCGCGGGGACACGTTGGAGAAGGCATGAATGTAGGGCCTACCAGACGCTGGAGCGGAGACAGCGGTGCCGAGGGAGAAGCCGGCCTCGTGGGAGTCCGCAGGAAACGCCGCCGCGAGGGAGGGCACCGGGACAGCGGCAGGAAGAACCGCCGGGACAGCGGCGGGAGCTTGGTGCTCGACGGCACGAAGCCGCGTAGACACCGAAGCCACGGTGCGCTGAAGAGAGGAGACGGCGGACAGGATGGCGTCCGTGCGCGCGCAGAGCAGGGCTCGGTCCTGGGCCGCAGCGGAGGCGTCCTCGGGACCTGCCAGGGGGGCAGCCACTGGAGGAATGACCTGAGATGACGCCGGGGCCGCCATAGGTGCGCCAGCGGAGCGGGGCCTACGAGCGCGTGGAGGGGCCCGGGAGGCCGCAGCAGGAGAGCCCGAGGATCCAGGGGAAGGCCCAGAAGCACACTCGCCTGAGTGTGCTTCGTCTTGGACCGACGTTTTTTGGGGGAAGGGGGAACCGAATCCCGGAGGGGCGAGGTAGAGCCCGCCGACAGCTGGTCGAAGAGGCTCTGGAGCTGGAGCGACGTCGCGTCGGGGCCGGGCACGACACCCCGCGCCGCGAGGAAGGCGCGCACCGACCCTGGGTCCCTGGAATCCAGACGCACACTCTTACGAGGGCTGGGGGGCACAGGCGAGACGTTGCGGAGGAGGATGGAAGGGGAGTCCGGCGCCGAGTCGTCAGGAGACACGGGCGCGCGGACGTTCGTTGAAGATTGCATGGTGTACGGGCGCGGTTAGCTGGCATACACTGCAGGCTTCGAGAAGGCCGAGAGTGGGCGTTTCTCCGCTTTTAAGCGGCTTGCCTGGCCGGTCCGGTGATTGGAAGAGGGCGTTTGCAGTGCGATAGGCTGGGGATGAGACCGGCCTGGAGGGGTTACCTTTGGCTGACGTCTACCAAATTGAATTTCCGCTGGCTGCATGTCAATTTTTCCATTTTGAATATTTCTAAAATTGTCGCATACCAGTCCTCTAGTGATGGTGGTGTTGAATTCAGCCATTTTCTAGTAACAGATTTTTTACTTGCAGCCAAAAGAGCCTGCAGCAGCCTTATGTCTCCCCTCCGAACCAATGCTGGAGCCAAACCCAAATACAAACATGCAAAATCGTTAGATATTTGCTCCTGGAAGACCTTATTCAATGTTTTATGGACTCCCACCCAGTATTGTTTTAAAAGAGGACACTCCCAGAATATATGAAAATGGTTTGCCTCCGAGGAACCACATTTTCTCCAGCACTCTGCTGTTTTGTTCCTAAATTTACTTTGCTGTGGCGATATAAAGTATCTTGTGACATTTTTCCAGCAGTGCTCTCGCCAGTTCAAAGAATTGGTTGAAGTCCATTGAAAGAGGCAGACCTCCTCCCAATCCCCATCAGAGATATTAATTTGTGCTTCTTGTTCCCACTTATTCTTAATGTGTGTGGTATTATCCTTTTTTGCATTTAATAATCCATTGTATAACTTTGAGATTGCCTTCCTTATCGAATCACTGTGAGCTGATTTTAAGATCTTGAAGAAGTCTGCCTCCACTGCTGTTAGGTTTGAGTTTTTACAATGTTTGTTGTAATAATCCCTCATCTGGAGGAACCTGAAGAAATCTGCCTGCTCCAAACCAAAATCTGATTGCAGGGACTGAAAGCTGCGCAATGCTCCCTTGTGTGTGAATGAGAGGTATGTAGTTATTTGTTTCTCAATCCAGGCGTGGAACCTTTTATCAGTTTTGTTCGGCTGGAAATCTGAATCATAAGCGACCCAACGAAAGTTGTTCAGAACACCACCAATGTCACAAACTCTGGCTACTTTATGCCACACTTTTAACGTGTGATCAATCCAAAAGCTTAAACCTTCCACCTGCTCAGCCAGGTGGTTGTCCGCAATCACTGCTGATAAAGGGATTTTTGATAAACTAGTTTCTATTGTCTTCCAATTGGCTTGGTAGTGCGGGTTACACCAATACAGTATAGTAATAATCTGCGAAGCATAGTAATAATACTGTAAACATGGGAGTGATGCTCCACCTCTAGCTTTTTGTAATTGTAGAACATTATATCTGATTCTCGGTTTTTTCCCCTGCCATATAAAGCGAGAAATCCACTTGTCCCATTCCTTAAACTGACTCTCACTCACAATAATTGGTAGTGCTCTGAACAAGTAAAGCAGGCGCGGGAGTATATTCATTTGACTGCAGTAATTCTTGAATTTAGATTAAGAAACGGGACAAGATTCCACCTCTGAATGTCAGATTTAATTGCTAATGATAATGGATCGTAGTTTAATTGGAATAACTTAGAAATGTCCTTAGTTAGATTTATACCCAAGTATTTTAAAGATACTGCCTCCCAATCCAGATTGTATTTTTCCTTAAGAGGTTTTGAAACACTGTAATTGAAAGCCATTACTTGAGTTTTGGATACATTTAGCTTGTAACCAGACATCCTCCCAAAACTATTTAGCAAATACATCAACCTCACAAATGATTCCCCAGGCTCCTCCAGAAACACTAGGACATCGTCTGCAAACATTGCCACTTTTTGTTCTTTCTCTGCCACCTTTACCCCCTTTATATCCTCAGATTGTCGTATCCATTGACCCAGAGGCTCAATGTAGAGTGCAAATAGCAGGGGAGAAATCGGACATCCCTGTCTCGTTCCCCGCTCCAGAGGAAACGAGCCAGAGACATCTCCATTTATCTTTACCCGGGCTATCGGCTTACTGTAAAGGGACATTATTATAGAAATGAAGTTATCATCAAAACCAAACCCATTCAGTGTCTTATAGAGAAATACCCATCTGACAGAATCAAAGGCTTTTTCAGCATCCAATCCTACCAGGACCGCCTTTGACTTGTCCTTGTTGATCTGTCCAATCACATGTAAAGCGCGCCGTATATTGTCTGAGGTCTGTCTCTGTTGAATAAAACCACACTGGTCAAGATGAATTAGTGCACGTAGAACTTTTTCCAACCTTCTTGCTATTATTGCTGTGAAAATTTTATAATCTAAGTTGAGTACACTAATTGGACGATAACTGCTGCAATTTTGCTTATCCTTGCCTTCCTTTGGTATTACAGAAATAATAGCCTCGTTCCACGATGGGGGAATTCTTCCATTTAATATAATCCAGTTAAAGGTGCGAAGTAGAACAGGTGACAATTCTTCTTTAAATGTTTTATACCACTCAGTGGGGTAACCGTCTGAGCCTGGTGCCTTCCCAGCCTTTAATTTAGAAATAGCCAGATTAAGTTCATTGACTGTTATAGGTTGCACCAGTCCTGCATTTTGAAAGTTTGTTAATTTTGGTAAATGTAATGTTTTCAGAAAATCTTCTATATTTAGCTCATTAGACAATCGGGGTTGTGAATACAAGTCTTTATAGAATAGTTCAAAACTCTCCTGGATCTTTTCAAGTTTATTTTCCACTGTTTTAGTAAATGGGTGTTTTATTTTGTAAATTGCACTTTCCACTCTCTGCTTACGTAGCTTGTATGGTAGTAACTAAGCTGATTTACCCCCGATTTCATAATATTTTTGTTTGAGAAAGACCATTTTTTTCTGAGTGTCCTGTAAGTAAATGTTGTCAATTTCACTCCTGATCCCTTTAATTTCCTCTTTTATCCTGCTATTACCACTACTGCTATCAACCTGTTGTAATCGTTTTAATTTTCCTTGAAGATCAGTTAATTTTTGTGTCCTCTTTTTTTTTAAATGAGAAGTTAGTGAAATAACCTTTCCTCTCATTACTGCCTTTAAGGCGTCCCACAACATGATCTGTGACACTTCACCGGTGTCATTCAAATCCAAATAGCTTTTGATGTCTCCCTTCAACTCTTCTCTCAGTTTTGGATCATTGAGAATATTTGTGTTTAGCTTCCATAATACTCTTCTAACCTTTTTTTCTAAGACGACTGATAGAGAAATAGGGCTGTGGTCTGAAAGGTCAATTGTCTTGATCTTGCAGTCTCTCACTCTCTGAACATCATTCTTGAACATAAAGAAATAGTCTATTCTTGAATAGACACGGTGAGGGCATGAGTAGTGAGTATAATCTCTACTCCTAGGGTATAGTTCTCTCCAAATATCAGTGATTCCCAGTTCTTTCATCAATGAATTAACCTTTTTAGTTAGAGTATTTTCTTTATTCTGTGGGTTTGAAGCATCCAATTTTGGATACAACTTAATATTGAAATCCCCCCCACAAATAACTATACCCTGGGAATTCACCATAAGATCAAAGACTTGCTTGTACAGAGACCAGTCACTTCCTGGTGGAATATAGGCATTAATCAATGTTATTTCAAATCCCTCAATTTTTCCAAAAACCCTTATGAACCTTCCTTCCTCGTCTTGTGTTTCCTCCAAATGCTCGTAATTTAGGGAGTTCGAAATTAGTATAGCAACCCCTCTCCGGTGGCCTGATTTGTAGGAGGAAGAGAATACAGATTTAAAACCTTGCCTTTTAAGTTTGGCATGTTCAGATTGGCTCAAATGAGTCTCTTGAAGAAAAGCTATTTGTGCCTTTTCTCGTTTTAATTTGGTCAAGATCTTACTCCTTTTCACCGGGTTAAGTACTCCGTTAACATTAAAGGAAACTATTTCAACCGGTTCTCCCAACATAACTGTTTGATTTGTGCTCTATTTCCAGTAAGCATTCCCCATTCCACAAAACACAGTGCAAAACAATAAATACCCACACATAATAAAAATGAACAGAACAAACCTTAACAAAAAAACAAAACCTGTCTTTAACTTCCCAACCTGAGGTCCTTTTATCGACCTGTTGGTTAGAGGGATAGCCTCTACACCCCGAGTGTGCCAGAGGGCCCTCCTCCACTGTGACTGCAATCACCAGTGTCCTTGTCCTCCTTTTGACCAAAAGTTTAAAAAATCCTTTGTTGTATTTACCTCGTCATCTTTTAGAATAGTTATTGTGAAAAGTAACTTCAGTCATTCTCCTTCGATGAGATTCGACGGAATGCCTGCAGCTTTTGTTTAAATCCCGTGGCGTTTGCAGCAGGGTTTCTCCTCTTGGGCCGCGCTGGTTGCCAGGCTGCTTGTTGTACTCTCTCCCACAGCGTGTCTGGCCCCTCGATCACCTTCACCGAGAGCCCTCGACTCGCCATGTCCGCTGTTGCCTCCTCCGCTGAATTGTAGGTCGTTTCCCCCTCTTCGTAGTGCACTCTCAAGCGGGCTGGATACAACGTTTGAAAGCGTATGTTTTTTGCCTTCAACACTCGTCGCGCTTCTGCATACGCTTTCCGTTTCATTAGAACTGCGGGTGCGTAATCATGATCCAGACTTATCTTATGTCCATCCAGAATAAAACCTTTCTTTTGCCATGCAGATCGAATCACTTCTTCTTTCACTCGGAAACTCAGGAATTTGACCAGAATAGACCGTGGTTTAGCATCTGGGGGGGGCTTAGGGGCGAGCGCTCTGTGTGCCCTCTCTATCTGCAGGTTTACGGAGGGGGGGATTTCAAGCTTTTCTCTTAGCAATTTATCAACAAACGTTATCATTGTCTTAGAATTGGTATCTCCTGTTGCTTGTTCGGGAATGCCGTATATTCTGACATTATCTCTCCGCGACCTGCATTCTTGGTCTGTTAGCTTATTCTGCAGTTGTTCTTGAATCTTTAGCATTCCCGTAATTACGTCTTCCACAGCTTGAAGCTTTTCTTCGTTCCCCACAATCCTTTTCTCCGCTTCATCCAGCCTCAGATTTG